ATATGCTGACTCTGTAAACCGCTTAGAGAGGGCTGAAAGCCCTATGAAGCGGTATATAAGTCTAACTGCTATTGCTACTGTAAAATTTATTAAAACTTTTCAGTAAAAAAAAAAGTTGTGGGGATCCTGCACAACAGGGGAAGTGAAGCACAGAAGAGCCTCAGGATGGGGAAGGCCTGGAGCAGAGGCTCCACATGTCCTGCTTAATGACTTGCGCAGTCATTTAACAACTGCATTGTTGTTAAGAGAGCAGGGAGTGGTAGTTGTTAATCAGGTTCCATTATGGCCATCGGTCAAGGACTACCTCTACAGCCCATGTAATACTGCAATAGATGTAGAAATAATGCATCTCCCAGGATCTGTTTTAATCAGTGTGTATTTTATGAGATTGAAATTGGGAGACTTTGCAGTTACTTATTAAACCTGATAACAAAGGTTGGTAATTTGCCTTTGATGCATAGTGGTGGGCTCTGGGAGACAGACCAATGGAGAATCTATGGTTATGTCAATAGTCTCTTGGCAACTGTTCCCAATTCCTCTCTGTTCCCTGATCTTAGTGCTGTTTTGGACCTGCCAATCAATACTCATGTCTCATAGCACAGCCTTTTTTTACTAACTCCATTTTCTTTTGTAAGCAAAGTATTGCTCGGGTTTTGAGTTTGAGTTTATTATATTTCTATGCTGCCCTATTCCCCGGAAGGGACTCAGGGCGGCTCACAACCAAGTTTTCCCCTTTAACGTCCTCTCATATACATAATTCATTTTACATCATATTTCTATTTCCAATTTCAGCCATATTTTCTTCCGTATTTTTCATCTTAAATTTAATTTCTTCTTAATAGGTAAACAATACCATTATTTGCCCCTTCCAAGTTAAACCTAATTATCATTTCATTTTCCATCTGTTATTCGATTTTGCTATAGGTAACATAACATCCTCAAACTCAATTTTGAATAACGTGGAAGGGAGAGGGATTGTAAAAGAAAACATTTAGATGATTTCACTGGGATTTACAGTGGCATACAAAAAGCAGACAAGGGGGAACGTCCCCCCAAAAAGAAAAAAACTAAACAGTAAAGGGAATAGTGGGGAAAGATTGGGAGAAACCCTGAATAAATTTACCATAGCAAAATTAAAAGGGAGAAAAAGGATTTTGAAGAAAAGATATAGTCATTATAAAAATAAGAAAAAGAAGAAGCCAGGAGAATGGGTGGAAAGAAGAGAATCTAAAAGTGGAAAATGTTTAGAAAAGGAGGCAGGGAAAGAAGGGATATATTAGTCGATTAAAGTGAAATGTGTTAACATTGTTAATGGTATGTAGCTAACTAAGATGTGAGGGAATTATAATAGCATTATTAATTGTGGATAATTAAGTTAAATGCTTATTATGTAAAGATATTTTTCATATCTTAAGAAAGCTGTTTTAAGTATCCATGGTTGTTATGTTTTGTCTTATTTTTTTCTGGTTTAATTAATTAGTGAATTAATTTTGGATGGAATTTTGTAATTGGTGAATAAATATTTGTTAATCAGTATCTATTCTTGCATTTAGACATACTGTAGTAATGAAGAGATGGATTATATCTCTAATATGATCATTTGTTCTCCTATTGAGGTTCTTTTTCAGATTCAGTGCAGAATTTGGAAGAATTAAGCCACAGAAAACAAGGTATTTATTAATGTTGTGCTCTGTCACATGTAGAATTATGTTATTTGGTTTAATGTTTCATATTTATATTAACTATGTGTTGTTTTATGATCTGCCATTATAAATGATAGCAGATATATAGCCAGATCATGCTGACTGTTGGATTATTTATGTAAAGCAGAGAGGAAAACATGGGATAAGGTCTGACAGGGATCTAGCACAGTCTTACAGAAGTCCAGCAATTCTCGTGGCATGTACAGTCAAAACTGGATAGTTTCTTTCCTGCTAGACAAAGTGGCAGCAAAATTTAGATTTTTCTAAAATTGCTGCTATAAAGAGCAAATATTAGCACAAAATATATGTGGAACCCAAAAGTAGAAGTGTCTGTCTAAGAATTAAAACACAGATTTTATAAATTATGTAAAAATGAACTCAAATTGCTTCAAATTAAAGTTACTACTGCTTGTTTGCAATGAAAACCTTTTACAGTATAAAGTTGCAAAGTTCTCTCATTTTGATATATAAATTAAAAGATAATTACTGAAAGTGATGTATTTATTTCTTGCTCTACCCAAATCCCGAATTATTAGCAAAGGCTGACATAATATTAGAGAATCACAGAATCATAAAGCGTGAAAAGTTTGATGCTCTACAGAAGAAGAAACTACAGACTCCTTTAAAAAGTAAGACTTATTTTTAATCATTTAGAACTATGTATGGTGGTAACCAATATAGTCTACTACACATGCACTCATGTCTGAAATATCTGAGGAATCTGGAACTCTCTGTAATAAGACAAATCCAGATGTGCTCGGTTATGCAGAATGACAACTTCCTTTTTTCTGTTTTGAAGACTAGAGATACAATCTAATAACTAGATTTCAACTGCCAGAGAGGCACCCAGTGACAAAATGAAGTACATATGGGAAAGCAAGGAGCATAAAAGAATGCAATTTCCAGTTAGCTCTTACTTGGCTTCTGGATGTAATTTTGGGTGGTTATCACCTATAAAGCCCTTTAATGGTATAGACTAGGGGTAGTCAACCTTTTTATACCTACCGCCCACTTTTGTATCTCTGTTAGTAGTAAAATTTTCTAACCGCCCACCGGTTC